TCATGATCCAGCTGGAGAGGGAAAACCCGAGAATGTGGTTCCTTGAAAACATTTCCAGCAGGGGATTTTTTTTTTTTTTTGACATTTGCTGCTTGTCAAAGAAGGCGAAGAGAAAGTTGTATTTGCTGCAATTCCCTCTGGAGGTGCCATATACCAAACCTCTCCATTATTTTGTCTAGTTTAGTATTGTCTACCCCCGTAGGTTTTAAAGGCAGAATTTCCTCTCTTCCTGGCTTACCTGCAAATGCCAGGGATGAAATTTTCCCCCATGCCAGACACGTATGACTGTTGAAGGTTGATGGACCTGATTCCATCTACTCTCGTTTCTCACGGCGAAGAGCTGAAACTTCTTTCAGACTCGCTTGCAACCAGAGAGAAACCCAGGGAATATTCTTATTTTTTCCTCTCCTCTTTTGTCTTTTGCACTTTTTCCCACAAATTGGGTCCCTAAGGACCCCTTCCATATTTAATGCTCTAAAACCTTTAGCTGAATTGGAAGTTGTTGCAGGGGGTGTGTTCGTTTTTATTTGTGCAGAACTGCAACCGTCTGCTGTGTTGGCAAACTCGGTAATTGGAAGCTTTGCCGGACAAGAATTGGCATTCAGGCAAGAAAATTGACCCTCAAGAAGGGGAAACCGTGGTCTTGCAAAGGGTTTGCATATATTTAAAAAAACACCAGGAATTACTGTCTTACTCTAGGTTTTCCAACAATGTGGTTAAATTCCAACCCTGGGTGCAGGGGTGGGATTCAAAAATCCCAGCAACTGGTTTTCTTCCTGGTTGCTGGGTGGGCATGGCCATGATGGGTGTGGCCTATCAGAACTTCCGGGAGGGTCAATTTTCACCTTCCTCAGAGTCCGGAGGCTTCCCTCAGGGAAGGTGAAAACAGCCTCCCCCAGGCTCCAGTGGCTCTTTGGAAGCCAGAAACAGGCCCGTTTCTGGACTTCTGGAACTTCTGGGAAGACTGTTTTTTGCCTTCCCCAGAGTCCGAAGGCTTCCCTCGGGCCTCTGGGGAAGGTGAAAATGGCCTTCTCCGGGCTCCGGAGGCCCTCCAGAAGCTGAAAGCAGGCCTGTTTCTGGATTTCTGGAAGTTTCGGAAGGGCCGTTTTTCACCCTCCCAGAGCCTCCACTTACCTGCATCCAAAACGGGCCACGTGGGAATTCCTGGGAAGGGCAGGGAGGGTTGAGGAAGGCCAGTCGGTTGGTTCAACTACCGGTTTGGCAAACCAGATGTAAATTTAATATCCGGTTCACCTGAACTGGTCCAAACCGGCTGAATCCTGCATGCCTTAATCTTGAAGGATCCAATAATATGCACCTCTATTAAATCTTGCTGAGGTTGCCTTGTCTCCTCGGTAGAACACACCGCTCCTTTTAATATTAAGGTCTTGAAATCCCAGGCTGAGCAGTGCATTCATTTCACATTCCACCTGTCTCTCAGCAGGTAGAACCATCTGACTGACTGGATCCGGACTTGGAAACTAAGCAAGAAAAGGCTTGGTTAGCTAGGACTTGGAAGGGGAGAAAAAATCAAGAGGAAATCACAGGGCTGAACATTTGAAATGGAAGAAGAGAGTTGAAATAATAATTTTGAAGAAGGGCCAAGTCTGAAGAGTTTGGTAGTCTTGCTAAGAAAGGTCATGGCTGTCCCAAAGGTGCTTTTTCAAGAGGCAATACCCTGTTAATATCCTATTAATAACAGGATAGTTAATATCCTAATAATTTGTATCCTGCAACCTTCAAAAATTTCCTGGTGGAAAATGTGAACTTTTAATGAAAAAGAAGAGGAACTCTATCTATCTATCTATCTATCTATCTATCTATCTATCTATCTATCTATCTATCTATCTATCTATCTATCTATCTATCTATCTATCTATCTATCTATTTCTGGTCCAGAAAGTCCAGTTGCCTCTTGAAAAATGCATGTTTTTATGTAACCACTAGAAGTCAAGCTCAAATGGGATTTGAGATTCTTTATCATATTGTGAGGTCCTGAGTGGTCTCTAAGCTTGGTTTTGTTGTTGCAGGTGACATCATCAGTGGAAATATTCTCCTCTATTGGAGACACCATATTGTTTGCTAGTGTTGATCTTTACCCTGGACTAACACTTGTCCTCAAACACACACACACCGAACTTAGTGAATTAGCACCAGAGAATTTAGTGGCATTCATTGTAAATTTGCATGCCAAGGAAATGCCCCTTTCCTCACCATGGCTTCCTTCAGAAGTAGTTGAGTTGCAATGTGGGTTCCTTGGTGCTCTCTTGAGCTTGATTGTTTTCTTGCAGATGTATCATTATTCAGCCAAATAACATAATCATCTAGCTATCTCATCTTTTATATCTATCTATCCTACATCATTTCTATCATCTATCCATCATCCATCCATCCATCCATCCATCCATCCATCCATCCATCCATCCAT